AAGAAATTACAATGGACACCACAGAAATACAAAGGATTATAAGAGAATATTACGAAAAGCTATGCACCAAAAAACTGGATAATCTAGAAGAAATGGATAAATTCTTAGAATCATATACCTTCCAAAACTCAATCAAGAAGGAATAGAGAATCTGACCAATCACCAGTAAGGAGATCGAAACAGTAATCAAAAACCTCCCACAAAACAGAAGTCCAGGACCAGCGGGCTTCCCCAGAGAATTCTACCAAACATTCAAAGATTTAATACTTATCTTTCTCAAATTCTTCCAAAAAATTGAAGAGGATGGGATGCTTCCTAACTCATTCTACAAGGCCATCATTACCCTGATACCAAAACTAGACAAGGACAACACAAAAAAAGAAAATTACAGATCAATATCACTGATGAATACAGATGCAAAAAACTTCAACAAAATACTAGCAAATAGAATACAATACTAATGTATCCTTTCAATAAAAGATCATACACCATGATCAGGTCGGATTTATTTCAGGGATGCAAGGATGGTTCAACATCAGGAAATCAATCAATGTGACACACTACATTAACAAAATGAAGAGTAAAAATCACATGATCATCTCAATAGATGCAGAGAAAACATTCAACAAGATACAGTATCCATTTATGGTAAAAACACTGAATAAAATGGGTACAGAAGGAAAGTTCCTCAACGTTATAAAGGAATTCTGCGGAAAAAAGAACAAAACTGGGGGTATCACAGTCCCTGATTTCAAAATATACTACAAAGCTATAGTAATCAAAACAGCATGGTACTGGCACAAAGACAGATACACAGATCAGTGGAACAGAATCTAGAGCCCAGAAATAAACCCACACATCTATGGATAGCTAATTTTCGATAAGAGAGCCAAGAACATACAATGGAGAAAGGAAAGCCTCTTCAATAAATGGTTCTGGGAAAACTGGACAGCCACAAGCAAAAGAATGAAAGTAGGGCCGGCTCCGTGGCTTAGCGGTTAAGTGCGCGCGCTCTGATGCTGGCGGCCCGGGTTCGGATCCTGGGCGCGCCCCAAGGCACCACTTCTCCGTCCAGCGCGAGGCCGAGTCCCACGTACAGCAACTAGAAGGATGTGAACCTATGACATACAACTATCTACTGGGGCTTTGGGGGGAAAAAAATGAATAAATTAAAAAAAAAAAAGAATGAAAGTAGACCATTATCTTATACCAAACACAAAAATTAACTCAAAATGGATTAAAGACTTGAATGTAAGACTTGAAACCATAAAACTCCTAGAAGAAAATATAGGCAGTACACTCTATGACATCGGTCTTAGCAGTATCTTTTTGAATATCATGTCTCCTCAGGCAAGGGAAACAAAAGAAAAAATAAACAAATGGGGCTACATCAAACTAAAAAGCTTCTGCAAAGCAAAGGCAACCATCAACAAAATGAAAAGACAACCTACCAACTGGGAGAAGATATTTGCAAGTCATATCCGATAAGGGGTTAATATCCAAAATATATAAAGAACTCATACAAGTTAACAAAAAAACAAACGACCTGATTAAAAAATGGGCAGAGGATCTGAACAGACACTTTTCCAAGGAAGATATACAGATGGCCAACAGGCACATGAAAAGACGTTCAACATCACTAACTATTAGGGAAAGGCAAATCAAAACCACAATGAGATATTACCTCACGCCCATCAAAAAGGCTATTTTTTACAAGACAAGAAATAACCAGTGTTGGAGAGGATGTGGAAAAAAGGGAACCCTCGTACACTGCTGATTTATTTTTCACCTTTAAAAATTCCTGATATATTAATGTACAGTTAAAAAGGATTTTATTTTACCCTTGGCAAAAAGAAGAGGTTTCTTTATCTGAGAAAGGAGTGCAAAGGGAAGAGGAAGGATGAAGATAAAGAGAGAGAAGTAGAGTACTTTTAAATGGCCTCAATCTTCTTTTATCCCCACTACACTCAATGACACAACAAAATCCTAATTTTTTTAATTATGAAAAATTTTGCATATGCAAAAGTATATATGAATGATGCATGTCAAGTAAAAAAAAAAAATAACATAATATGCAGATTAAGAATGTGAACATTACCAATACTCTAGCATCTCCCAAGTGCCTCTCTGCAATCATATCCCTTTCCCTTCTCTCCTGAGGATATCCACTATTAAGAATTTTGTGTTTGTCATTCTCTTCCTTTGTTAGTCTTTCACAACATATATATATATCCCTGAATAATATATTAAATTTTCTATTCTTTAAAATTTACATAAGTGGCATCAAACTATTATTATCTGGCAACTTGCTTTTTTCATTAAACGTTATGTTTTTGATATTCATCTGTGTTGCTATGTATAGCTGTAGTTCATTCATTTCTCCTATTGATTTTGTTATTACAAACAGTTGAGTGTTGAACATTCTTCCTGAACATGTCTCCAGAGTTTAGGATAGAATTTCTAAAACAGTCTATCCATGATCTTCAACTTTAAAAGTTAATGCCAAATTGTTTTCCAAAATGGTTATACCTATTTACACTACCACTAGTAGTATGTTACTGTTGTTCTATATCCTTACCAATACTGAGTATTGTCTGTCTGATTCCTATCAGTAGTCTTCACCTTCCTTCAGTTTTTCCTAGGCACTGCAGTGAAATTAACATTACAATACACAACTTTGTCCTCTCCTCAAAAACCTTAAAAAATTCTTTACTATTTCCTGACTAAATCAGGAATAGGGCCTTTAAATCCTCCACAATCCTTTCCAACCTACCTTATCAAACTTATACTATGCTCCTCTATGAACCTTCTGCCTTAAACTGGTTTATACTTCACTGCCTCCATTCTTTTACTCATGGCATTCCAGTTTCTTCTCTCTCCACTCTGCATGTTCAAATTCTACTGTCCTTTAAATTCTAATTTGAAAGCTATTTTCTCCTAAGAACACCACCTCCAATCTCCATTCCTGTGAATTACTATGGCACTTTATCAGTATATCCTTTTTTGGACTTACCACTTTCTACCTCGTACAAAAATAATTATCTATTAAATGTGTACCATGTACAACACGCTCTGTTAAACATTTTAAATCATAATTGCTAATTTTCCTAATAACAGTGCATGAAAGGCAGGTAATTTCATCCCAATGTAACACAGCTGATAAGCTGCAGAGCTGTATGTTGTGTTATTAGGTTTGTTTGATTTCAAAGACTGTTCTCTTTCTACTATACTGCACTGCCACTTTGGTTTTATTATATCATTAATATTACTTAATCATTTAACTAAACTTACATACATATACCCAACTTTGTTCTACAAAGGATTTGAGACCCCTAATTATTTGATGAAGTATATTAATATCATTCTTCCTATCCAAAAATGATCTGAAATGGCTTAAAAAATAATAATAAGATATGGGGGGACCACAAAGGGAAAAATCATAATGGATGATAAAGGGGAAGCAAATATGCTAATCATAAATGTTAACATGGCTGCTTGGACTGTACATAAAATTTGACAGTCAAGGCAAGACAGGAAAACATTAAATTTAATTCAATGTCAAAAAGGAAGAAACTCACAAGTACCTCAAGGCAGGCAAGGATTTCCTGCTAATATGTTGAAAAGAGATTTTCACGTGGAATAGTGTTATTTATAAACCAATCTTATTGGTGCATTGGAGTAAAAAATTCCTAAGTCTGACTTCTCTCATGTCCTATGTAACAAACACAGTTGATGTTTAATTTGTTGAATGATTGAATTTATCAGTCTTAGGAAACAAGGAAATAACATCCATTGAAGAGAGTAAAAAGATGGAAAACAGGCTTTTAGAATTTGGAATAGCCATTTTAGGAATTTGTCAAAGTTGGGAAGAGATGAATCAAAGGACTGTTGAGTAGAAATGGATATAGCAAAAGTTACATAACACTGATTTTCAGATGAGAACATTAGCACTGTCTAAAAAAAAATATTTTCCAGCAATACCTGGAAGCCCAGGAATTAAATTAGAATAGAGAAGGTAACCAATACTGTGAGAGTCAATGCTGCGTATTGGCAAGAAGGGAATAACAGAAAATCAAGGAAGTAAAAGGAAAGAGTTCATGGGGACATTATGGAAATTACTAGAAGTTTCAGGCTGGGAGAACAGGTTCACAGTTTAAGAGGAAATAAGGTAGAAGACTAGTGGTTGTGGTAAGAAAAATACATGCAGACTTACGCGTACCCACATGATGAGATCTTTTTCTTTTAACAATATTTTTTAAATGTGAATACCATTCCAGATTTGACTTGTGTGGGCTATAGTTTGGAACCCTGGTCTATAGGATAAAATTCTAACTTCTTAGTTTCACAGAAAAAGATCTTTATAATCTAAACCCAATCTATTTCCCTAGTCACGTTATCCCATACTCACTTAACTCTATACTTCTTAGATGCAGAATTTTTCAGTTTCCTGGAAACTCAGTCTAAGGCCTTTCATAGTTCTGGACCTTTGTTCTTGCAGTTCCCTTAGCCTGCAAAGTCTTTCATCATTTCTCAGCTTACAGTTATTCATTATTCAAAATCCATCCCAAACGTCACTTCTTTATATACCCTTCACAATGCACTCAAGGAGTGATTACTTTTTCTATTCATAACCTCTTTTTTATTGTTCATATCTCTTTTAAAGCCTTCATCGTGCTGAATTATATTCTCTATCTCCTCCAATCCCCAGTACTCTGACTGTCTAAGGGTAGGATGGTCTTATCCATCTTGGCAGTCCTACTCCCCCACACTGGTGCCTGACGATATCTAGCATATAAGCACATGCTCAATAAATATTCATCAGTGAATGAAGTACCTCATACTTTTCAATATAAACATCTATGTGTGATAATGACTAAGATAATACCCTAAAACTGTAACTTTATACCATCATAATTGAATCCCACTGCTTACGTTTTTTAAAACAGAAAAACTGCATTTTAATTCACTGTGATTTTAAGAGAATTTTCTATCTTACATGCCTGGTTGTGTTCATGAGTTGTGCAATTATCTGTTCCATTATATTCTGTAAGCTGTTCTCTTCTCTTTTCTCTAACAAGAATTTTGTGAACATCATCTTCCAGTCTATTGAAGAATCCTCCATCATGTGATAAAGTCTGAGGAGAACTCAATTCCTGTCAAAAATGAATTATGATTTACTATCAGTCAACACAAACACATATGCATTTAATAAACCTAGTCAGCCACTAGAAGGATAGAGAATGAAATAAAAATGATAACTAAGAGACAATCAACCATTTGATTCTCCTCTATCTCCAGAAAATAAACAGAAGAGACACAGTTATAAATGTTCTTTTCTTACTTCTTCTTATTTTTGGGGTTGGGTATTGCTTGACTTAAAAAGTTTTTTTATCCATATACCATACAATTCACCCATTTACTGTGCACCATTCATATATTCACCAACTTGAGCAACCATAACCACAATCAATTTTATAAGTTTCATCACCCTAAAAAGGAACCCTGAACCTATTAGCCGTCATTCCCCATTTCCTCCTAACACCTCCTCTCAGTTGTCCTCTGGTCAACATTAGTCTACTTTCTGTCTGTATAGATTTGCCTATTCTGGACAATATGTGCAAGCAATAAACCTTTTTCTTCACCCACTTTAGCCTTGGCTGTTTTTTGGCTCTGCACTCACCAAGAGACGGACCCACTGAGTTCAGTTACACTGTGTCATACGTGAAGGAGATTCATTGACTAACTTTAGGGCATGTGCTGGAGGAGCAGGGATCTGTTGGAACTTTCTCCAGGGATGGAGGCACTGATGGGTGCCATTTTTTTTTGTTGTTCACCTTGTACCTCACTGGCCCTGTGCTGGCAAGCACCATTTCTCACTCTCTTCATCTACATTACTAGCACCACTCGCCCCACCCTGGTGTTCCTCTGCAGACCTGTCCAGCGAATGCTCCTCCAAAGTGGTCCCCTGCCCCACCACATCTGGCAGGCAGCCTCAGCCAGCAACAGAGCCCCTACAAAGTGGCCCCCTGCCCCAGGGGCTGGCCCCACACACCACAACACCTGCAACAGTCACAGCTGGGTCTCACAGCCAGCCACACTTGATGCCTGCCCTGCCCACCAGCATGCCCACAGCTGTTGCAGCCAGGCCTTGTAGCCAGCTGCACCAGGGGCCAGCTCTGCACACAAGCATGCCCGCGGAAACCACAGCCCAGCCACAATAGGAGGGTGCATGCAGCCCACGCAGGGGATACCCCTAAAGCACCTGAGTCTGGTGACCAGGAAGACCACACTACTGGGCCCCACAGGACATCTTCTATACGATGCCACTCCTGCAAGATTAGAGATGTAGCTGATCTACTTAACACATAGAAACAAATGCAGAAAGTTAGGCAAAATGAGGAGACAAAGGAATATGTTCCAAACAAAAGATCAAGACAAAACCTCAGAAAAAGAACTAAATGAAACAGAGATAAGCACTCTAACAGATAAAGAGTTCAAAGCAATGATCACAAAGATTCTCATCAAACTCAGGAGAAGAATGGGGGAACACAGTGAGAACTTCAACACAGAGAGCGAAAATATAAAAAAGAACCAATCAGAGCTGAAGAATACAACTAAAATGAAAAATACACTAGAAGGAATCAACAGCAGATTAGATGATGCAGAAGAACTGATCAGCTATCTGGAAAAAAGGGTGGTGAAAATAACCTAACAGGAACAGCAAAAAAAAAAAAAGAATAAAAAAAATATGCAGATAGTTTAAGGCACCTCTGGGACAACATCAAGTGTACTAACATTTGCATTATAGAGGTCCCAGAAAAAGAAGAAAGAGAGAGGGACAGAAAACCTATTTCAAGCAATAATGGCTGAAAACTTCCTTAACCTGGCAAAGGAAACAGACATCCAATTTCAGGAAGCACAGAGGGTCCCAAACAAGACGAATCCAAGAGGCCCACACCAAGACACACTATAATTAAAATGTCAAAAGTTATAAAGAGAGAATCTTAAAAGCAGCAAGAGAAAAACAACTAGCTACATACAAGGGAGCCCTCATAAGACTATCTACTGGCTTTTCAGCAGAAACTTTACAGACCAAAAGGGAGTGGCACAACACATTCAAAGTGCTGAAAGGGAAAAACACCAAGAATACTCTATCCAGCAAGGTTATCACTCAAAACTGAAGGAGAGATAAAGAGTTTCCCAGACAAGCACAAGCTAAAGGTGTTCATCACCACTAAACCAACCTTTCAAGAAACGTTAAAGACTTCTTTAAACAGAATAAAAAAGGCCATAACTAGAAACATGAAAAATTATGAAAGAAAAAAATCTCACTGGTTAAGGCAAACATATAGTAAATGTAGTGGATCAAATACCTATACAGCTAGTACGAAGGTTAAAAGACAAAAGTAGCAAAATCATTTATATCTACAATAAGTAGTTAAGAAATACACAAAATAAAAAGATGTAAAATAAGACGGCAAAAGATGGCAGGAGGTAGTAAAATGTAGTGCTTTTAGAATGAGCTCAAACTCAAGTGAACATCAACTTAAAATAGACTGCTATATACATAGGTTGTTATATAAGAACCTCATGGTAATCACAAACCCAAAACCAATGATACACAAAAAGTAAAGAGAAAGGAATACAAACGTAGCACTAAAGAAAATTATCAAACCACCAGGGAAAAAAGCAAAGGAAGAAGAACTACAGAGAAGAACTACAAAAACAATTAACAAAATGGCAATAAGTGCATATCTATCAATGATTACTTCAAATATAAATGAACTAAATGCTCCAATCAAAAGACCTAGGGTGGCTGAATGAATAAAAAATCAGGACTCATACATTATGCTGCCTACAACAGACTCACACCAGATGTAAAGACACACAAAGACTGAAAGTGAGAGGATGGAGAAAGATATTCCATGCAAATGAAAACAAAAAGAAAGCTGGGGCATCAATACTTATATTAGACAAAATAACTTTAAAACAAAATTGTAACAAGAGACATAGAAGGGCAGGCATTACATAACCATAAAGTGATCAATCCAACAAGAGGATATAAAACTTGTTAATATTTATGCACCCAAAATAGAGCACCTAAATACATAAAACAAATATTAACAGACATAAAGGGAGAAATTGACAGTAATACAGTAATAGTAGGGGACTTTAACAACCTACTTACATGAATGGATAGATCATCCAGACAGAAAATTAATAAGGAAACATTGGTCTTAAACAACACATTAGACCAGATGGACTTAATAGATATATACAGAACGTTGCATCCAAAAAAAGCAGAATACACATTCTTTTTAAGTGTACACAGAACATTCTCCAGGATAGATCACGTTAGACCACAAAACAAGTCTCACTAAATTTAAGAAGACTGAAATTGTATCAATCATCTTTTCCAACCACAACAGTATGAGACTAGAAATCAACTACAAGAAGAAAACTGGAAAAAATACAAACACATGGAGTCTAAACAACATGCTACTAAAGGACCAATGGGTCACTGAGGAAATCAAAAAATAAATTAAGACAAATGAAAATGGAAACACAATGTTCTAAAATCTATGGGATGCAGCAAAAGCAGTTCTAAAAGGGAAGTTTATAGTGATATAGCCCTACCTCAGGAAACAAAACAAAAAAGCCAAATAAACAATCTAACCTTACGACTAAAGGAATAAGAAAAAGAAGAACAAACAAAACCCAAAGTTAGTACAAGGAAAGAAATAATAAAGATCAGTGTAGAAATAAACGAAACAGAGACTAAAAAAAATAGAAAAGATCAGTGAAATAACAGCTGCTTCTTTGACAGACAAACAAAATTGACAAACTATTAGCCAGACTCATCAAGCAAAAAAGAGCGAGAACCCAAACAAACAAAATCAGAAATGAAAGAGGAGAAGTTACAACCAACGCCACCAAAATACAAAGGATCATAAGATATTACTATGAACAATTATACACCAACAAATTGGACAACCTAGGAGAAATGGATAAATTCTTAAAAATGTACAATCTTCCAAGATTGATTCAGGAAAAAACAGAAAATCTGAAGAGAACAATTACTAGTAATGAAATTGAATCAGTAATGAAAAAACTCCCAACAAACAAAAGTCCAGGACCAGATGGCTTCACAGGTGAATTCTACCAAACATTTAAAGAAAACTTAATAACTGTCCTTCTCAAACTATTCCAAAAACTAAAGAGAAAGGAATGCTTCAAAACTCATTCTATGAGGCCAGTATTACCCTGATACCAAAACCAGACAACAATGCCACAAGAAAAGAAAATTACAGGCCAATATCCTTGATGAACATAGATGCAAAAATCCTCAACAAAATATTAGCAAACCGAATTCAACAATATTTTAAAAGGATCATACAGGGCTGGCCCCGTGGCTTAGCGGTTAAGTGCGCGTACTCCGCTGCTGGCGGCCCGAGTTTGGTTCCCAGGTGTGCCCCGACGCACCGCTTCTCTGGCCATGCTGAGGCCGCGCCCCACATACAGCAACTAGAAGGCTGTGCAACTATGACATACAACTACCTACTGGGGCTTTGGGGGAAAAAATTAATTAATTAATTAATTAAAAAAAAATTTTTAAAGGATCATACACCATGATCAACTGGAATTTATCCCAGGGATGCAAGGATGGTTCCATATCCACAAATCAATCAACGTGATACCCTACATTAACAAAACAAAGGATAAAATTATATGATTATCTCAATAGAAGCAGAAAAGGCTTCTGACAAAATTCAACATCCAATTATGATAAAAACTCTCAACCAAGTGGGTACAGAGGGGACATACCTCAATATAATAAAGGCCATAAGAAAAACCCATAGCTAACATCATACTCAATAGTGAAAAGCTGAAAGCATTTTCTCTAAATGAAAGCATTTCCTCTAAGATCAGGAACAAGACAAGAATGCTCACTCGCACCACTTTTATTCAACATAGTGTCAGAAGTTCTAGGCATAGTAATCAGACAAGAAAAGAAAGAAAAAGTATCCAAATTGAAAAGGAAGAAGTAAAACTGTCACTGTTTGCAGATGACATGATACTATATATATAAAATCCTGAAGACTCCACCAAAAACCTATTAGAATAAATGAATTCAATAAAGTTACAGGATACA